ATCTCTACTAATACTAATTTTTTGGGGAATAATTTGCTGCTTTAGAAGAACATGACCTAAATAAGTAATAGGATAGCTGATCTGTATCTTATCTGGGGCTGTCTGTAGGCCAAAGTCAGTCAACAACTGCTTGTCTACACAGAACATGTCCTGTAAATACCTTTCTGAGCTAGCAGAAAAAAGGATATCATCTATATAGTGTATAATCAGAGCATCTGGGAATCTTTCCCGCAATAATTCTAAAGGTTTGTTGACATTATATTGGCAGAACATTGGACTATTTAACATTCCTTGAGGGATAACTTTCCAATGATAACTTTTTACTGGCTCCTGGTTATTAAAAATAGGTACAGTAAATGCAAATTTTTCTCTATCTTCTGGTCGTGATGGAATGGTAAAAAAACAATCCTCAAGATCTGTAACAATTAACTTCCAATTCTTAGGTATCATAACATGGACCCATGGGTTGAATAACTTCGTTAATTTTTCTAAGATCTGTGAGCATTCTCCGTTTACCTGATTTCTTTTTAATCACAAATACAGGGGAATTCCAAGGGCTAGTAGATTCCTCAATATGCCCTTCTGACAGTTGTTCTTGTCCTAATGATCTTAAGGTTTCTAATTTTTCTTTTGGAAGAGGCCACTGCCCAACCCAAATTGGCTTATTAGTAAGCCATTTTAAAGGTAAAGCGAAGCCCTTTTCTACAGTGGCCTTTGTCATCAATTTGGAGACCCTAAACCACGTGTCCCTTTGGAAATTACTGGAGCTTGTATATAACTATTGGCTTCACAAGGATTATAATGCATTTGAGCCATCCTATTCTTTGCCTGAGAAGATGTATGTGGAATGCTTACATATGTTCCCCACTGCATTAATAAATCTCTTCCCCATAGATTCACTGCTATATCAGCAACATATGGTTATAAAGTGCCTGTTTGTCCTTCTAGACCAGAAATCTGAAGAATGTTAACACTCTGGTGAACATCTATCACTGTTCCAACACCAGAGAAGACTGTAGGCACCTTCGTGGTAGGCCAAAGCTTAGGCCAATGTAGCCATGAAATTATAGTCCCATCTGCTCCTGTGTCTACCAATCCCATAAAAATTTTTCTGTTTTCAGTTGGAACTCAGGTCTTTTGTCCCCTAGGCAAGTTTGCCAAAAAATCTTTTTTCTGGTGCTTCCAAAACCCCCTACACTCTTTATAGGAGCAGCATGGCCTTTCATATATGGAAGAATCAATAATTGGGCTACACGGTCTCCTGCTTCAATAGGATATGGTTGTAAGGTCTGCATCATAATCTGAATCTCATCTTTACAGTCAGAGTCTATCACCCCCATTTGTACTATAATCCCTTTAGAAGTCAGCGTACTTCTTCCCACTAGCAAATCAACAGATCCCTCAGGGAGAGGCCCATAAATCCCAGTTCTAATCTTCTGAAGTCCTAAAGCAGGGTATATTGTAACATTCCCTAGGGAGGGGATATCTAATGCTGTACTACCCCTGGTTGTGGCAGAGAGATCACTGACTCTGCTTGGGCGTGGTCGCAGCCATTGCTGACTGGAAATGTCTGGTAACTCCCCGTATTGTTTGTCCTTGGGCCCAGGGTTGGGCCTGAGTGGAAGTTTCCTGCTGGTATCAGAGGAGTGCCATTTTTATATTTTGATCAACACTGAGTAGCCCAATGTCATCCTTTCTGACATCTAAGACAGACCTTAGCAGGCAAAGGACCCTTATAAGTATAAGCCTGTTGTTCTGATTGTCCGTTCTTTGTTTTGCTAGTCTACGTTCCTTTTTCATATGCCCAATTCTACCGCACTCAAAACATTTAGCATTCTTTTGGGAGAAAGGGCTGTTTCCCTTCAAAGCAGCTGCAAGCAACCCCGCTTTAAAGGTTTCTGATCCTATATTCCGACAAGCTTTCATATACTCATCCAAAGTAGCATCCTAAGATTTCAAGGGCTTTAAAACCTTTTTGCATTCTGTATTAGCATTATCATAAGATAACATTTTAAATAATAATTCTTTAAAAACAGGCTGAGACACTGTTTTCTGCAGTACTTCTTCTAATCTAGCTATAAATTCTACATAAGGTTTGTTAGCACTTTGAATGACCTGAAAAACAACCCAAAGGTATAGGGAGAATTCCCCCCATATGAAACACTAAGCCTGCTTCAATTCTTTAATAGTTTTACAGGTACTGGTGCGTGACTATGCTGAACATAACCTTGGGGATTTTTCTCATTACCTGCTGGTTTGGTAACTAACTGGGTACACAGCAAAAGCCTTACAAGCATCCAGATCTCCTTCCTGTTTGGCTTGGGCAAAAGCCCTCATGACTGTAGTCATACGTAGTGGTCTTTGAACAATTAACTGAGGTGGATCCCTAAAAGGGTTAGACTTACCATATATTGGGGCTGAGGGCTGTACCGGATATGCTTGAGAGACCAAAGAAGGAGGCGGAGGACAATCTAATCTCTTTTCTTATAGTCACTATTAGGTCCAAAAGACCCATACCTTCCTTCCTCCTCTGTAATTGGTCCCCGTCCCTGAACCAATAGAGTTTCGTTAGACAAAATATTAGCTGATGCAGAATCGGATCTGTCTTTGCGTTTTTTACTTGTATCCTGCAGAATCTCCTGTTCTGGTTTAGTTTCATTTTGAGACAAAAATTACCCATAGTAATCCTGATAAACAAACCCAGAGACCGGGCTTACCTATCCGTCAACTCTTCTCTGGTCCACTGAACACTCAATTCCTTTTTCTGTAGTCTGGAAGACTCCTTCCGTTGTCAAGTTGCTGCCCATTGGCTCTTCTCCAGTGGTCGAGCACTGACTTAATTTCCTTAATTCCCTTTCCTAGTCTCTAAGACTTATTTTCATACCCTAGTCTTGAAGACTTATTTCATGCCTTAATCTCAAAGACTTATTTTCATATCTTAGTCTTGACTTTCGTACTCAGGGTCCCTGTTCCTGGCACCATTATGTGGGACTTGTCATCCATCCCTGTCCAGGATGTACCAGGCCCGAGAACAAGGTGCCCGTGGATGATTAAGAAAAGTAAAAGAAAAAGAGAGACAAATAAAACAAGGGAGACAATATTCTGAGATCAGGGGGCTTACAGCCTCTCAGACTGCCTTGCTCCCTATACCCAGTTCAGTCACCTTTTATTGAGCGAGAACCAAGGACGTAGCTAGGACAAATGGGCTGATAGCAAACATTTTAGCAAGGATAATTAAAGGATCACCCAAGACAGCCTGTAATCCCAGCACCCAAGACATGCCTGTAATCCCAGCACCCAAGAGGTCGAGACAGGAGGATCCTAAACTCAAGGTTAAACAAATCATTGTGTCCTCAATGCATTCTAACCAAAGAATGTCCTTCTCCACACCAAGTGACACTTTATTCTTTACTATCCAAGAATACTAACTTATGGTTTAACAAAAACATAATAGATGTTACGTCTGTAATCCCTGTAGCCCGCATGGTGTCTGATTCATGAATTAACATTTATAGTTAATTTTGAACTTATGACTAAGCAGAATATATCTTGCTGAGTATTCCCAGTGTGCCAGGTAGTGCTAAGTGCTGGTTTGCATATAGTCATTCTTTCCCTCCTCCTAATAATTTCATCTCTACCGTATAAGTGAGGAAAATAAGATTTTAATAGTTTAATGACCTTAAGATGACACAGGTGACATTTGTATAACAGGCCTCATTCCAAAGCTCATGCTCTTTCTATGCCAGCGTTTAAACTTTGGCTCTATTCATTTTGCAACCTTGGGCAAATTACTTAACATCTCTGCCTTCATTTTCACACATATAAAAATAATCAACACACCTACCCTGAAGGATTGTTGAAGTAAATGAACTAGTAACATATAAAGTTCTTTGAACCACGGCTGGCATACATGTTAAATTCTATTATTATACCATACTACTTCCCCAGGGCCTATACTGTCCCATAGCATTCCATCATACAGTTATAGGGGATTACACAGATAGATTTGGGGAGGCGTGAAACAGGGTTTTGTTATGTAGTTCAGGCTGGCTTTGATGTCTTGGAGGCCCTCCTGTGTCAGCCTCCTGAGTTCTGAGCTTACAGGCCCTACACAACCATGCCCAGCTCAGGGGCAGAAATTTCATTTACTTTTAGGGAAAACTTAAGAATATTTGCCCTAAAGCATGTCCTGATTTATGAAATAGAGAATTATCTGGAGGTTAGTTTGTTGAGAAAATTGTTCAGTCTTTAAAATGTAACAATTTGTGTAGGTATAGGAATAGAAATAAAAGCTGTAGGTTCAGTCCTTTGATTGTTGGGAAGATTGTTTCCTTCTCGCTACAATGTGATTCACCCCATTTTATGCTTTGTAAAATTGCTCATCTCTTCTGCTGTCATATGTATTATTTAGTCTTAGTCTTAGAAGACCATTAGTGAGAACCTGTCCATTTCTGAATGTTCAAGAAGAGGGGAGATACCATAATTGGTTATTTTCAGTAGCATGAAAAACAGTAGTTTTTTTGTTTGTTTGTTTTGGTTTTTTTTTTGGTGTGACAGGGGCTTGCTTTGTTGTTGGGCAGTCCTAGAACTCACTTTGTAGCCCTGTTGGCCTCAAACTCATGATCCTCTTGCCTCATCTTCTTGAGGGCAGCTGTGTTTAAGCTGCTTAGATGGTTTTTTTTTTTTTTTTTTTTTTGGTATCAGGAATCAGACTCACGGCCTCGTACTTGCCAGGCAGGCACTGTGCTGCTGAGGTATATCCCCGGGCCCAATGCTTATAATAGTTTTTTAGAAATCCTGCTATGAAAACAAAATCCAACAGCACTTAGTTTGTCTGTCATAGCTAAGACCAACCATTACTATGAACACATGGTTTTTTGAGTCTGTTTAAAAAAGCTTCTAATTACATTAATTTATATTAAGAAATTAATATTCTCGTCAGTCATAATAATTTTTCTTTTATTAAATAAAATGCCTTAACATATAACATTTTATTTTAGATCTTACTGGAAAGATGAAACCTGACGAAACGCCTATGTTTGACCCAAGTCTACTCAGAGAGGTGGACTGGAGCCAGAATACAGCTACATTTTCTCCAGCCATTTCTCCAACACATCCTGGAGAAGGCTTGGTTTTGAGGCCCCTTTGTACTGCTGACTTAAACAGAGGTATGGACTCAGTTTGCCAATCCTGATTACAATTATTAAATTAGCTTTCTATTTTCTCCATAAACATTAAAACATAACTTTAAAAAATGTACTACTTCTTTGAGACAGGGTCTGTATAGTTCAGGCTGGCCTCAAACTTGCAGCAACCCTCCTTCCTCAGCCTCCCAAGTGTTGGGACTATAGGGATATGCCACCACGCCTGGCCTTCTACTTTATTTTTAAAGTGACCTTGATACCCAGTGACCCTGGCCATGATCAAATATTATTGTGAAGTGTTTCAAATGGCTTAAATATGACAGAGCATCTTCCAGAAAGACTCCTCATAAACAGAGGTGAAGCTGTCATGTGTAACAGCACTGAAGCGTCTTCCTTAAGAAGCTGAATGGGAATTTTCCTTGGATAAAAGTTCCAAGTACAGTTTCTGTGTATTTCTTTTATTTATTTATTTTTTTTATTATGTTGTTTTTTGTTTTTTAATTTTGTTTTTCTTCCGGTACCAGGAATCGAACTCATGACCTTGTGCTTGCCATGCAGGCGCTTTGCTGCTGAGCTGAATCCCCAGCCCCTGTATTTCTTTTATTAACGTGTACGTTCTCCATCGTAATTCCTTTAAGCCTTGGTAATTAAAAGTAAAATTTTATTTCTTACAGTTTTCATTTGGGTGAGAAATCTGAAGAAACTAATTTTGTCCTTTTCTTTTTTGTGTTTTGGTGCTGGGAATCAAACTCCTGACCTCAGGCTTGCCAGGCAAGTGCTTATGCTGCTGAGCTACATCCCTGGCCCTGTTTTGTTTTTTGATTCAGGGTCTTACCACTATGTAGTTCAGTTGGCCTTGAATCATAGTGAGAATCTTTTTTTTTTTTTTTTTGAGACATCTCACTACGTACTCCAGGCTGGCCTCCATCCTCCTGCCTGTGTGCTGGGATTACAGGGATTTGCCACCATGCCCTGCAACAGTGAGAATCTAGTACTTCAAACCAAATCACGTATTTGGGAAAACTTGGCATTCTTGCACTGAACTTAAATTACACTGAAAAGAAAAATGTATGTGCTAGCTCTATAAATCTGGCTATTAAGGTCTGCACTATTCCAAAAATCTTACTAAGCAAGCAAAACCATTGGTGAAGTTTATAATCCTTTGTTACAGCAATTACAGAACACAGATTTCAGTTAATCTTGTTGAAATAATAACTGCTCATATCCCCCCAGCTAATATACTACTGCTTCTTTCATGTTTTATCCCCCCTTTGCTTTTCTTGTCATGTCTTAAAATTTCTTCTACCAAACTAGGATTTTTCAAGGTACTGGGTCAGCTGACGGAGACTGGAGTCGTCAGCCCGGAACAGTTTATGAGTAAGTATTACAGCATTTTTCCAAAGGAAAAGAAAACAGCGTTTTTTTGTTTAGAGCTCTGTTCAGTGCCTGCTTGTGTTTTTGTTCAAACGACTGGAAATGATTCAGATAACAAGTTATTTTCTTACGTAAATGTTTAACTTGACTGAGTTGTCTTGGAATCCAAATGTAGTAATTACCTTGTTTTGCAAAATAAACTTATTTTTAGGTGCTTTTGAGTAAGATGTAGGGGCAGTTCTAGACATTTTGCAGTTTTTCTTACAGTATTTTCTTGTATGTGGTTACAGAAATATCCTTACCAAACTAAAAATGCAAGAGTATATGTTCCATTAAAAAAAAAAAAAAAGAGTACTGTTCTAACTTTATTTTTTTTTGTTCTTGAAGTTAGCAGGTATCTTAGAATTAGCCTACCTCCCATCCCCCTTGAGATGTGAGAAAAGTGGGTATCCAGAGATTCAAAGTCTTACCCAAATTCATAGGTGGTTATTCGTAAGGAAAGGTTAGAACCTTCTTAACTTTATCCAGTGTTCTAATAATACTGCTTTCACCTAAGCCCTCCTAAGAATGAAGACCATCATTCTGATTTTCATTACTAATTTTCCTTCATTAAATTGATTCTTTCCACTTCAGACCCCTGTCTAGAATGAGACTGGAAATAAAACGAGAATTTGGTTTTTAACTCAGTTTCCCTTTGCATGCATAACAGATTAGATGAGAAATAATGTTACTTATATTTCAGACATACAAGTACTAAACACTATTTGAGGGGAGAGTATCTCTGCTCCTCTTATGTGACTTCAGAAAAATTACTTGGAAATGAAGTCATTTTTTACCTGCTATGTAAGGTGCTTTCAAAGCAAACAAAGTTATTCTGTTTCTAAAAGAGCAAATGTGTAATCATGAAACACTGGAAATCACAAAGGGAAAACTGAGAACTGTTTTGTCAAAATATTGTGAAACTAGGAATTATGGAATACAAACATCGTTCTTAAAATTTGCCAAGTTCTTTTGAGGATCGTTGGGTGTAAAGGTTAAACAAATCTAGTTAAAGTAATGAAGGTATTGAAGTTTTAATTAGTGATACAAACGGCAAAATGTACAATTTATCTATATTGTAAGTGTGGTTCATCTAAATGAGCTATGTTAGTCTTTGTTTTGTTAAATTCAGCTATTTCAATTCATTTTAAATTAATATTTTTAGAAATGGAAAGTAAATTGGTAAGGTAGCTTTATAAATTAATCCTAGCATTTTTCTGGTACCTAAGAAAATAGAGTATCTAGTGTAATACTTTGTTTTTTTAATTTTCACAGAATCTTTTGAACATATGAAGAAATCTGGGGATTATTACGTTATAGTTGTGGAAGATGTGACCCTAGGGCAGATTGTTGCTACAGCAACTCTGATAATTGAACATAAATTCATCCATTCCTGTGCTAAGGTATATGTTCACATTAATGCCTATGTGTAAAATGGATAGGTGTTCTCTAGGAAGATGAACCCTGAATTTCCATTAGACAAATCTATTTTTCTCATTGCTTTACATGATTCTTAGAAATCCCTTCTTACTAGGCATTTTCCTGGTGTATTTCTGAGAGTTACAAAAGGAAGAAAAAGTAGTGTGAATTATTTGCTGAAATTGTTCGGTAAAGGTGTCACATTCAGTGCAGTCATAGAAAAGCCAAGTATCCTGTAAGAGTTTAGAATCCTCCATGGTCTGTTTCTTCAGAAACAGTACTTGGAGTATATTACATTTGTACAAATTTCTCTGTTTCCATGTGGTAAAGGTCATAGACTACTATACCACAATTGAGTTCTAATTGTGACACTTCAAATGCTTGTTTTGTAGTGCCCTTTCACCCTCTCATAAACTTGCATGAAATAGTAAAAATAAGAAAACTCCCTACATAATAAAAAAAAAGTTCGAGCAAACCAGAAAGACCACAAATTCACAGCCAACCAGGGCAACTTTGGAAGACCATGTCCCGATGTAAAAAAATGAAAAGGGTGGGTAACTCAGTGATAGTGTTTAATCTCCTGCAAAAAAGAAAACAGAAACACTTGGCATATATTGTGTAGTCCATGAATTCTGATGGGGGTATGGGGTTTGTACACTAGGAAAAGATAAATCTGGCTGTTTCAAATAAATTGCTACTATGCAAAGAGTACATGGAGGTATACACAGTGGATTCTGAGATTTACTTTAAAAAATGGATTAGGGAGGTTTGGAAATATAGCCAAAAATGATTAAGCCCCACATTGATTCCTTACACCTATTTCCTGTATGATACTAAAAAAGTTTCTGAATTTTTTTTACAAAGTTCAAGTTTACAAAATATTTATCAATAAATTCTTGCCAACTATCGTTTGTTGGTTTCACTAAAAATAAAACTAGATTGGGGCTGAGGATGTAGCTCAGTAGAACACTTGCCTATAGCATGTGCCATGTTAGGCTCTGGGTTCAATCCCCTGCACTGCATAAAACAGAAATACACTATGTGCTCAGTCCTTTAAACACTGTAATATTTTCAGAGAGGAAGAGTAGAAGATGTTGTCGTGAGTGATGAATGCAGAGGAAAGCAGCTTGGCAAATTGTAAGTAAGCAGAAATAAGGTAACGCTGGGTGCTCTGTGTCAGTTTCTTTTCAAGATACTTGTTTTTCTGTTCTTTTTAGGCTTCATTAAGTATGAATTCCTTCTCATTCTGTAGTTTGGGCTGAATTTAATGAAGAAACAAAGTAGTAGTATATAGTTTTACCTCAGTTTGAGAATAGAAAATATACCTCATTATCAAGAGTAACAGCTTAAACTTTTAGTATTTTCATACTAGTGGGAAACAGTTGATGAATGTTATGGATGAGAATGTTTTTTATGTAACACTTTAGTGAACTTATTCATGTTGTTACTAAAATCCTTTTTGAATAATAAATGCTTTCCCCACCCTTTTTTAAAATTTCAGGTTATTGTCAACCCTTACTTTGTTAAGCAAGAAACTGAACTGTTACAAGATTACGCTTGAATGTCTACCACAAAACGTTGGTTTCTATAAGAAGTTTGGATATACAGTGTCTGAAGAGAACTACATGTGCCGGAGGTTTCTAAACTAACGCTCTCCTCAGAGAAGTCACCACGCAGCTCATGTCGCTGCGACCCGGGCCTCCATCAGCACTGAACTACAGCACCGGATGTGCTATCCTCAGTAGAGTGACCTTTAGAAGATACGACGGGCTGGTGGGGCAGGCTGTGAGTTTGGATGATAAATACTATAAAGGGGATGATTTGTAACCAAAGGAATATATTTTTCACTTGAATCTTTTCTTGCATTGTATTTTTCTAAAGTTCCGCTTTATTTCTTGGTAGTGAACAGTATGAGTAGTAAGGAGCTGTGCTGCTCATTTTTTAAAAAATTGACTAAGGCTGTTTCTTATCACATTCATAGAAGTATTTTTGTTTCAAAGAGATATTATCTAAATACACTTGTGGGTATCATTGCTCACACACTAAGTATAGAAGTTGGATTAAATATAGTGCATCTAACATTTGCTGATCCTAATATTGGTAAAGAACGTGATCAGCCTTTTTAAGAATTATGAAATTGATAGGATTCAGAGTAAAACAAATTTTTACCTATCAAAAATTCATAGTTCCACATAAAGTACTATATTATCTGAAATATTATTCATTAGAATTACCCAGTTTTTAAAGTGAACTAGCAACTCTTGGCATAGGTACTTTTACCTTTCTTTTTTTATGGGTACTGAAGCCTTTCTTTTGTTTAATGTTTTTGTGAAACATGGAATATTACAAAATTGTGAGGAATATTTAAAAATGTTTGGCAGTGCATTTGTCACATCCTTAAAATGTTGATGATAGCTTTTCTATTTAATGTGATTATAATGGTACTATTTTTCTGGTCACTGTCCTGTTTTATTTATTTTAATTATTTTTTAAAGTTGAAGAATTAAGGTACTTTATTAATGGCTCTAATCTTTTGCATTCCATGTTACATTAAATTGTTCATATGAATCAATTCTCTGTTAGCATCCTGGCTGTACTTTCTTTGAGTCTCCTATTGAAGTCTCAGTTCACAGCATCTTAGTTTTGTATACTCTTTGTAAAACAAACTTGGAAAGAAGAACTGGCTGCTTGTCATCTCCTAAGTTGTACCACTTCAACTGGATTTTGGATTTCACTCCAAGCAGTTAGCAGAAGTTGGCTTTCCAGAACAATAGAAATCCTTCACTGGTAGAGAGTATACTACTTACTTATTGACCTACACAGATGAAGTGTGCCTAGTAAAATCAACAAAGTTCTGTCTTTTCAGGAGTCCTGTGATCTTGGCAGCAGCTTCATTAGGTAAATTCTGGTAATTAAAAACCATGTTAAAGAAGCCTAGTAAAAGGGTAAAATGTAATGCTCTATTGCACTTCTTACCACAAAGCTATTTGAGGTAAAATCACCTATGTGTAAGATTGGTACAGTAAGTAATGCCTAGGTTTACAAATGCTTTTTTTTTTTTTTTGTCTTTTTGAGACAGGGTCTCGCTCTGCAGTTCAGGCTGGCCTTGAGCTCACTGTGTAGCCCAGGCTGGTCTTGAACTCGCAGCATTCCTCTGCCTCAGCCTCCCGAGTGCTGGGATTACAGGCGTGAGCCACCACACCCGGCTACAAATGTTACTATTAAAAACAACAGAAAACTCGCTTCTGTTTGCAAACAATCTGGTTCACAATCAAAAGCATTTGGCAAAATTTTGCTTCTGCTTGCAAACTCTGCATTGGGTGATGAACACAAGCACCTGCCATCTTCCCCACGCAAACACAAACACAGTGATATTCCCCAAAATTGTAAAACAAATTAAGTTTGTGAACAGCGGCACCACTATATTCCAATAAATCAATTTGAATTTTGTTCTTAAAATCTTTTTCTTAACCCTCCCCCGAGAAGAAAGTTACAGGTAAGATTTAGTATATAAAAAGATTGTGGCACTGAGGAAAACTAATCTTCATTTGGCTTTCAGTTAACAGATTAGTTTATTTCTGAGCCACATTGGAAGTAAACTTGAGTATGCAAAAACTGCATCAAACATATGAACTATATCCACATCTCTGAACACTTTGCTTCTGAAAGGTATAATCAGCGAGGGATGGGGCTGGTGGGGGTAAGAGGCGCACACCTGTCACCCCAGCACTTGGAGGCTGGCGCAGGAGGACTGTCACAAGTTTGAGGCCAGTCTGGGCTACACAGTGAGTTCAAGACCAGGTTGAACTACACTGAAACCCTGTCTCAAAAAGTATAATCAGGGGCTGGGGATTTAGCTCAGCGGCAAAGCACCTGCCTGGCAAGTGCAAGGTCGTGAGTTCGGTTCCTGGTACCGGAGAAAAACCAAAAAAAAAAAAAAAAAAAAAAAAATAATCAAGTGGCAGTTGTGACTTTTAGTGTTTGTTCCATATATTTTGTGTATTTCTGTTCTACCAACCCTAACAATGCACTAAAATCTTAAATCTGCATGTGCTGAGTGTTACCTAAAATAATGGTGCTGTTTTGAGGGCAAGTTAAATTTGATGAAGCACAGTACACAGGCTAAAAGGGGGAGAGGGATACTATGAAAACAGCTGTTTTTTTTATTGCTGGAGGTGGCTCTGTCCAGGATCTACGCTTCAGGCATGAGTTCCCTTACTTCCAACTCCAAACTTGCTCAACTAAATCTTTCAAAATACTTTAGCTAGAACTTGGGACTTGTATAGTCTAATGACCATAATCTCGTATGTCACCACTGTTTTCTCCATAGCCAACATTCATTCACCCTTTTCAACCTGTGGGAGTAAAACTACAGTTACTTTTATCCAAAAGATAAGCAAAGAAGTTTGGAGGCAAAAGCCGTATGAATGAGCTTTTCAATCTTTGAGGTATAATGGCACAGTAGTTTTAATATAACCACCAATCTTCACAAAATAATTTTAATACTTTGTGCCTGAGCTAGCAGCATCTTGCATTGTGACATTCCTATACATACATAAGCATTGACCCAAGTACAAATATTAAAAGTAGAGTAACATAAGCAATTGCCTATACAAAGGTAAAGAGACACTGTACATTATTCTCTTCTTGAATCATTTTGCTGCATAGTAAATTGCAATTACATGTCAGTATAATGTTACTGATCTATAGAATACACTTTGAACTGTGAGGTATGGCAACTCTCTACTGAGAAGAGAGCTTACATGTAAACCTGTATTTAACATGTATTTAACATGTAAAATATTTAGTGATTTTTTGTTTTGTAGCTGCCATGGATAAGAAAGACAAAGGAAATCCAGCATTCAGAGACCCTAGAAACTTATTTCTCTAATGAACAAAAAAAATAGTAACTCTTACCTATTTATTATTAGAGCACTGTTAATGGAAAAATATAAATACTAAAGTGAAGCTATGTTTTGTTATGGGATTATGGATTAAACCAATTATCTAAAGAAATCCACCAGGTAACTGCTCATTTACTTTACATCAAGTTGAGCTCCTGATATATACATCTCAACTTTATAATTCAAGATTGCAATTGAATACTTCTAATTCACTTGAATCACCATGGCAATAGGACAATTAGAAACATAATATTTCCTCAAAAAGGACATGCTTAACATCTTCTGACGTTATTTTAAAACTCAGATTAAGCACAAAATCCCCCCACCCCGAAGTAAATGAATATTCTGCTCTACAAATTGAGTAGTTGACTGTTGATAGCAAAAGCTGATATGGTTTAACATTTCCACCGCAGAGTAGATACAAATAAAGCTAACTATTGTTTAAACATCTAAGAAGAAATTAATATGAACCAATTAGCTGAAGTTAGAAGAAAACTGGCATTCCAGTTTAAATGTTTGCAGTACTGTTTCATACTTTCAAAATGGACAGTAATGCAATTTTCTATGTTTTGATGTAATTTCACTTTAAACTTTGTGCCCAAAGTACATATTTAATGTTAAAATAGGGGAGTCACTCATACATTAGTCAAATACTCTAGAAAATAAAACATCATGATTGGTTAAGTTTAGCATACTAAACTGTCACAAACCATCACCGGAAATAGAAGAGCCACAGGAAAGAAATCAAGAACAGGAGAAGCGAACAGAAGAACTAGCTGGACGTCAAGTGGACCAACAGATCCAAGAAAAACAAACGTCAGTGTTTCTTACATGAAAGTATAGCAGTCAGTCTTACGTTTTGTCCACATGCACTGCTACTGTACTCAAGATGATGGCAGTCCCTTTGCTTGTGTTTAGGAGAAACTGTCTTTAGTATATAGTGCTGGGCAGGCACTTCAGTGACAACACCACAAATGACAATGGCTAGGAAAATGTGGAAAATTACCAGCTACAAATTAGTATCAATAACCATATCTTTTTTTTTTTTTTAAGTTTAGTTTATATAGAGGCCCTGAGTTCAGGGACTGAACTCAGGGCCTCTATATAACACGGAGCTACATTCCCAGCCTTTTATTTTTGAGACAATTTTCACTACATTGTACAGGCTGGGCTTAAACTTGAAATCCTCCTGTTTCAGCCTTCTGAGTAGTTGAGATTACAGGCATGTGCTATTGCAACTGGCACCAAACCAGTATTTTTAGTCAGATTTCTAGAAATATGTATTTTTACCAAACTTAAAAAACGCAATTGCCGAAATTGTAAAATTCACATTTACTTTCATGAAAATTATTTTAGGCAGAGTTTCTGCTGAATGAAGTATCATAGGTTGATTATTACATTGCAAGAGATATCTTCACTGACCCATCCAGGAATGATATATGTACAGAAAAGCCATGGTATCTAGTAGGTCTTTACCAGCTAGAATTTTGAACATTCAATACAATCTGGGTTCTACTACGCTACACCAGATGACCCAATCATACAGTACAATGATGGACTATCATGGGGTTAACGTAGGAGGAAGGGGTGGAAATGAGAACAGGAGTATCACATGGGTTAAGAGAAGTTAACTGTCAATTAACAGTCATTTTAAATTAATTTTCATTCCTCTATGATGCTAGGTAACAGCTTTTTCTACACCACTGCATCTTAGGGAGGAGAGCAAGCCAGTAACTGGTGTAGCACGCTGCCTTAAGTGGTGTCTCTGGGACTCAGGAAGATAGGACATTGTTCCATCAGTAAAGAGCAATTTGTGAAGCACCTCAAGAGAGGACTGAGAGAAGTGGAGAGGAGTTTGCTTTGTGCTGCCCTAAGGTCATCAACTATGCAAAGTTAAAGACTCTCCTTTTCCCTCATATATTCAAAATAACTACAGTTTTTTTTTTTAAAGACCTAAGTAACAGACAACTAAGATCTATAAAAGTGACTTTGCTAATGCAAATTATGGGAGAAATTTCAATTCAATATAAAGAACTGATTAAAACACTAATTTAAAACACACAAAAAACATGCGCAAATCACTTTCCCCAATAAATTCACCTTCAAAGAAAAGCATCTGAGTTGGAATAACCTCACATAAACAAGACAATATGAAAAAGTAAATGTTCCACATTCCAAATAATTTCATGTTTCTTCAAGGTTAAGTTTAAACTAACAGTTTAAAAACAAAAGAAATTACAAGAAACGTTAAGAGCTTTTCATTGGCCTACATACTAGTTTAGAGATCAATGAGGACTAACATTTTTTTAAGTGATGCAAGGCACTTTTCTTTTTGGGGGCTTCATTTAGGAAAAAAAAACGGTAAAAACAGGCAGCTCTGAAAGTGTTGACATTTGGCTTCAAACAAGCGAAGGGAGAGCGCATGGGCGGCAGCTGAGAAGGTGGTGCTGGGACCGCAGCAGCAGAGACCTTCGGTGGGGCTGGTGCGGAGAGGCGGGCAGAGCTTAGGGGCACAGCAGTCCAGCGGGGATGGTCTCTGATTTCTGGAGTTCAGCAGTGGAAACCATCACCCATATCTTATAAGACATGGGACACTGGCCTCAGACAGGCCTGTAATCCCAGCACCCAGAAGGCTGAGGCAGGGAGGATTCCAAGATCAAGCCCAGGTCGGGCTACTTAGTGAGACCCTGTTCAAAAAATAAAAAAGGGCTGTGGAAGTAGCTCAGTGGTGGAGGGCAGTGGGAGCAAGTGAAGGCTCCCGTGGGGACGACTCATCTTGACTCGTGGGCAGACGGGTCCCCACGACCCCTGCACGCAGCTCACGTGAAATCTTGGCCAAGGGAGTCTCCAAGTGTGTTTCCCTGATGGGACCTTCGCCTCGGGCTTCACGGCAGAGCCCAGCAGGTGCTTCTGCTTTTCTTCTGGCAGCCGTGCCAGCTCCTGGAAGTCACTGCTGGGTCTGACACACTGTTAGCCAACTTGAAACCGCAGCTGTTAACATCCTTGACAGTGGTTCTCAGGGGGGCCACAGACGGCAAGTGGAGTGTCTTGTCACACTCACCATCTCACACGGGTTCCCCTGGGGACAGCGCTGTCCAACCAACCTGTATGGAGCAACTGGTCAGCAGATGCCCTTTCCAAGATGACCAACATTTGGGAGATTTCAGAGGCAATGAGGAGAGGCTGAGGACAAGGACTCTACAAGAAGATTATCCTTACACTGCAAAGCTTCTGGGAGGACCGGAGAAGCTTGAGTGTCCTCGGGCTCCAGGGTACACGGACACACACTTCTGTCCCCTGGCTCCCTGTACAAAAGCTGGCAGCTCCTCAGGGAGCTGTGGATGTTCTAGGAACAATCTGATTACCAGGGCCGGGAGGACTTTGAGCTCATCAGAAAGACGACAGCAGATCCTCCCCCGTGGACCCGAACCCACTTGTGAGGCAGTGGTGCCGCACGGGTGAAAGCCACTGAGAGACAAATGAGGGACTGCAGAGAGCACCTTCTTTGCAGTGGGACAAATTTCAGAGTTGAGGACAGGAAACACAGCAAGTTGGCTGTCCTGTTTAGAGGATGATACGCTGTGCAAGAACTCAGTGTCGAGATTTATGCATTTCTAGCCTGTAATCCCAATACTTGGGTGGCTGAGGCAGGAGGATCATAAATGAGGCCAGTGTGGGCTATACAGCAAGACCCTGTCTCAAAAAACCAGAAAGTTATGTACTTTGAAAGAAAAAATTCAATTGAAAATCTTAATGTTACCTTTGTTTTTGAACATCTTGTACTATAAAGCAAAACATTTTCCCTTAAAGAATAAATGAATTAAGGTAATAGGAAGCATTAACTGGATTAAGTAGAATAAGGGTAGCTAATTAACAAGGGATCAAGAAGGTTAAAAAACTAGTCATTCATTTATTGACTTATACTAAGAAAGTGGTAGATTCCTGCACTTCTGTTATGTTGGGTTCCATCATAAAATGTAACTGTAAAATTATTTTTTAAATGTAATATATAGAACACAAAACGAATTTGTAGCAAACCCTAGGAAATTCTTTTGTTATAAATTACCCAAAATTGATCAACAAATGCCCCCTAACTTGCATTTTGTTTAAAGTAATAACTTTGTGTCATACAAATAAATTTCAAGTATGAAAAGTGCATTATTGCAATAATAACTCTTTGCAAGTCCAAAATTCTTAGTTTATAATAAAACTGTAAAGTTAAAAAAAAAAAAAGGGTAAAACCATCAGTGCCATCTACTGCAGAAGTCCAACATCTTCTTAAAATGTTGCTTAGCAAGTTGCAGAGAAACGTCTGGAAGCAACGTAACTGAAAGGAAACTACTTGTGTTTTTACCACTTTAAATTATTATCATCTTCAGTATTTTCTCTTTCCAAATAGAAATTTGCAGCCTCTGTAACGTTAGTCTTGAGTCAGCCATTCTGGGCAGTGGCCACTTGCATGTTTCCAAAATCATCTTCTTCTTCATGTGTTCTCTTCAAACTGCCTAAAAGTTATTGAGTGAACATAAAATGAAAATTCAATAAATTCATGTTAGAGTATAACAGCCAGTAAAAATTTGTCATAAAGTGATACTACGTACTTAAGATAATTTCATGACTGAACTTATGGCAAACTTTTAGCAAGTTCTTCTGTTGCAAATTACCCAAATAACCTTTTAACCTTATGTCAAGCTATATTTTCTCTCCTGAGAATTAAAGAATGTAGTTATTTCTTAATAATTAATATATATTAAAATTGCATGTGTGTATGTGTGTTTAGACAAAGTCTCACTATGTATTCAGACTGGTCTGGACTCTCTGAGTAGTCCAGGCTGGCCTCAGACTTGCAACAATCCTCCTGCCTCAGCCTCCTAAGTACTGAGAGCAGGCATGTGCCACCACACCCAGCCTCAAAAATTAAGTTTTAAAGTAGTGTGAAATTAGCACTTTTGAGAAGCTGAATGGTACCCAGAGTTTGGTTACCAAATTTATGCTTTTTAGGCATATAAATATGTAACACAGGACATAAAACTTCCAGAAATTAATCATTGTTGTATAAATTTTAGACAAAATTATTGTTTTCACAGATGCTGTTATGAAAAGCACCTGAAAGTATTTTCCCACCGAACCTGTTGTATTATTCTCAACAAACCTAGGGTGATAGAAAGACATGTAGCAGATAGTACACAAACTCCCCACACAGTGTAATAGTTACATTCAGTAAACCTGAGTCTCAGTATAGAGAACAGCTGAACTGGCATAGCGTCTGCTGTGTTTTGTGTCTGACGATAGCCTGGCCTCAAACTTATGTTGTATTAAGTCACACTAATAATGTTGATCCAGAGGGCAATTTCCAACACAAAACTGCTATTTCACTATAAGATCAAAACAGTAAATGAAAGTATACTGTCAATACAATGGAATAAGGTAGAAAATATCCTCGTCATAAGGCTGAATACAGATGCTGTGACTGGGTTTCAGTGACGCGTTACGCTTCTGAGGGAGCTGTGCGTGAAGAGGTCTGGAGGCGCAGAGAGCATTAAGCACCTCGTTTCCCGAGGAAATGACATTTCCCATACAAAACAGGAAGACAGTATGATACATTTTAGGTGAGGAAAAACAGACAGGAAAACTATTAGTTCCGTTCTCTGCAATGCACATATGAAAAGGACAGAGAGACACAAACTGAAAAATCGGAAGGGCAGTCCATATATTTCCTTCTGTGGAATAAAGTCAAGTGAAGGCTTTGGAAAAGGAAAAGAAGTCTGGTCATGATACAAAACAGACCAAGTTTGGACAGGAGATGAACGTGGACCTGAACAAGGCTGAGATTAAGGGTAAAATTCAAACAACAAAGCTTAAGAGACCCAGCAGGATTTAGAAAGTGACCACAGAGTGGCACCAGAGAAAAGCAGTCAGTGATGACTAGAAGCTGAAACTAAGAGATGATTATGCAGCTTTATCACTTCAGGAAGTGCAGTTCAGCGCAGCGTTCTGGACTTGTGGACCCAGTCTGCGGTGCTCACGTTCCAGGTGTGGAACCTGTTCTTCCTACCTTAGAAGCCTGCCAGTTCAAAAGCAGACTGAAATAAACAGGGCTAGAAAAGCTTACGTGCTGTGACTACTGTATCTAGTAGGTTAAAAACAAAAGAATTAAACAAGAGTAGCAAAGTCTTGGAAAAGGAGGATTAAAGATTTTGAGACCATGCTTAGATTAACTTTGAAAATGACAGGCTTTGGGTGTTCATAAAATAGCACAGGAGGGAAGAAGAGGTCAAAATACTGACAGCAAGAGAAAAAAGCAGCTCATACTCACCCTAGTGAATCTGAAATGTTGAGGGGGGCGGGATACTGGGATGGCACCCCAGGCTACTTGTTACACAAAGCTCTTTTTCTTGTGTCTGTGTGTGTGCACTACCATGCCCATCCTGTTCTTTATTTTTGATAAGATCACCTAAACCAGACTCCTCATATTAATCTTTTAAATAGAGCTGTACCACTTAGGAGACTTTTAAACCAAGCAGGGTTAGGGATGTAGTTCAGTGGTAGAGTCCTCACCTAGCTTGTGCCGAGCTCTAGGTTTAAATTCCCAATACCACAAAACCATAACAAAACAAGCAGGTATCTGATCATCTGACCAGCTTCTTCTAACTGACTATACCTGCAGTATACACAGTGCAAAAGCTCATTATAACACACATTTATTCATTATAAAATCAGTCTTTTTCAAATTATCTTGTTTTAATTCAAGTTTACCTACATCTTTCTAAATTATTTGGTACAACCTGTATATAAGCAATGAGTGTGTCTTTTCCTTTTTTTGGTAGTGGCAATCAACTCAGCACTTTGCGTTTCCCAGGCAGACACTGTGATATACCTGGCCCCCCTTTTTTTTTTTTAAAGAAAACATTCTTACCTGTGGTACCAGAATGAACAGATAAGGACCTTTCTATTTGAAGTGGTGACATCATCTGTATTGTTAACTTTGCTAGGTAGATGGCTTCATATTCCTAAAAAACATTTTAATTTACTTTAACATACATTTTCATTCTAATACCAAAAAGTCATTAATGTGTCACTGCTAGAGCTTTAAAGTTTCTCTCATAATCACCAAGGACTGATAACTATAAATCAAGTCAGGTTAAGAGGCTGCCCTACTGTACCACACACTGAACTGGCTGTCAGTACAGGGTGTGCCCTCTGCCACTGGGGCATTAGCTATAATGACCTCTAATTCCATCTGATAAGGAAGAAAAAAAACCAAATACCTAAACTACCAATCTCATCAATGATTCTAAGAAAAAATGAACTAAAATATACTCAAGCATTTATTGGGTTATCTGATTCCTTAATAACAATCATCTGCCTCCAGTTAAAGATGGAACACTAAAGGCATTTCTGTAACTCTCCCCTTTCTGAAAACAAGGAAAACATTTGATAAAACTAAGAAATATCCATACACTGACTAGGAAAAGAATGAGGAGGAAAGTAAGGGAAGGGTTACAAAACAGACCAGGACGGTGGTTTTCTTTTACAAAAGGAAGGGTTGTGCTTGGGAAGGGCTCTCAAGAGGGGCGCAGGTCACATGCATGTTATATTTTACACATTCTCTGTAAGTATATTATACTTTATGATAAAATTTTTTAAAAATGGAAACAGACTGAGCTGTGCACATAAGATGCTTGCTTCTGCAACCTTCTCAGGCACCGTAAGTACAGTTCATACTTTCCAAAAATGCTAGCAGACTTAAGATAGATCCAGCAACCCCTTGAACATCATGACAGTTAAGCATGAGTGAGCTCTGGGAAGGATGGCATATTAGGGAAAATGAGACATCCATACTTGCAAGAAGCAGACTACCAGGTTTAGTAAGGTGGAAGGGATCTGAGTGGCATGTGGCCTGCAACCTGCTGACCTTGCTCAGCTAACAGCGAGGGGTAAAGGGGTAAACGGAAAGCCTGGCGATGTGTGACAATCACCTAACGCACTTCGGTGGGCACACTGATTTTGGACTTCCCACCCTCCCAACTGTGAGGAAAAAAATTGTTTTTAAATCGCAAAGTCTATGGTATTTTGTCACAGCAGCCCGAGTTAAGTCAATGGCATTTGTGAAGTTACTTCAAAGAGACAAAAGGACTCATGGAAGGCAGAGGACAACAGACATATCAACCATTCACACTCAACAAAGAAACAAAAGAGACAAAGAAACAATGACTAATAGAATCAACAAAGAACAGACCACACCATGCAACTGTGGCAAAATAATTTCTCCCTTTCTCCTGGGTTTTTCCAATCAGCATGTAGAAAATGCTGTATTTTCTCCTATCCAAGTAAAGCCCTCTTAATCCTACTTCTTCAGCCACTACTTCATTTCTGTTTTCCCTTTCAAGGTAAAGTTCCTAGAATTGGCTATTGCTGAAATTTCTCTCTTCCCATTTTCCCTTAAAAATCTGCAACTGTGCTTATCCTCCCCACTCCACAAGAACTTTGTCAAGGAAATCAATGACCTCATGTTCTGTGACAGTGAATCGCCCCCTCCTTTTTACAATACTGCCTGCACCTGACATCTCACACACCATCCTATCCTGATCTCCTTCCTACCTTGCTGGCCTTCCTTATCAAACTCCTGCTAATTCATCTCACCAACCTCTACAGGTCGGAATACACCGGGTTACGTCTTTGAATTCTTCTTTATCTACACTCACTCCTAGTGACCTCACCCAGCTTCAGAGCTTTCAATACCGTGTATACTGGCCATCCCTACACAGGACTCCTTCTCCTGAACTTCACGTACATGTTCCTGCCTTCTTCCTGACAGCCCTCTCAACCTCTCTAGATGAAAATCATCTCCTAATCTAATGTAGCTTCCTGCATTAAGTAAGGAGCAATTGGTCCTCCGGTTGTTCAGGCTAAAGGCTTAGTTTCTGTCTGTCTGTTTCTTTCTCTCTTTGGTTTTTATTTTGTTAGTACTTGGGACTGAATCCAGAGCTTCTTCACTGAGCTACTTCGTCAGCCTTTATAACTCTTTTATTTTGAGATAGGGTCTTGTTAAATTGCTAGACTTGAAGTTTTGATCCTCCAGCCTCAGCCTCCCAGAGTGCTGGGGTCACAGGCCTGCACCACCGCACCAAGCTTAGATTCAGTTTTTCCCTCTCCCTTTGAGAACCTCTATCCAATCAAGTAGTAAATACTACTTGACAATTATACCTTCAAACCTGATCTCTTCTCAACTCTTCTGCTACTACTATGTGCTGCAATCCAGCACTCTCCACTGTATTATGGCGGCAATAGCCTAAGTGGGCTACTTGCCTCTGTCTTCACTCTCAACTCTCTGTAGCCTACATTCAAGCCGCCAAATTGATACTGTAAGATTTAATACTCCGCTTAAAACCGAAAGACCTCACTTAGTGATCCCACTCAGCTCTAATCCCTAACTATCTCATTTGCTTACTCTGTTCCAGACACACTGACCTCACGGTTCCTTGAAAACACCACACATATGCCGCCCTCCACCAAGATATTCCCCCCAGATATCTTCATGATTTACGTCTTTGCTCCAAATCTTGCTCAGGAGGGCCAGCTTGGGCAACATAGAAAACTTCATAACAAAAAGCCCAAAACAAACAACCCTGCAAAATCCTCAGATTCTTTCTAGTGAAAGTGATACCAAATAAAAACTCACTAGGAAAATTCTAGAAAGGACACTAATGAAAGACTTGAGCAAATAACAAATTGTATAAAATCACCATTTTGAAACTGGGCCAGGCATGGTGGCACAGGCCTACAATCTCAGTTACTTAGGAGGTTCAGGCAGGAGGACTACTTGAACCCAGGAACTTGGGACCAACCTGGATAAAAGCAAGACCCTGTCTCAAAACAAAACAAAACTCTGATATAAGTATAGCAATAAAACACATCCATAGAAGAGATAAAGTCCAGAAACAGCCGCAAGTATAGATGACAATATGGACTATAATAAAAGTGGCATTGCCACAGTTTGGATCATTAATGTCTCCCAAAGGCCCATGGGTTAAGGCGTGGTCCCTGCAGGGGAAACATTGGGAGATGGTGGAGTCTTCGATAGGCGGGGCCTAGTGGGAAGTACTATTCTTAGGTAACTAGAGGTGCATTCTGAATGGACTTGTGTGAACCCAGCCTCGTTCCTGTTCTTTGCTCCCTGGCTGGCGACACATGTGAGTTTGCTCTGCCATACACTACCATGGTGTGCTGCCTCACCACAAGCCCAAGCTACCAGGCCCATCAGTCACAGAGTGGGACCTCTAAAACCCTTTCCTCTTCGTAAGTTGCTTAGCTCAGGTATTTGTTAAAAACATGGGACGCTAACAGAAGTCAAATCAGTGGGCTATATTAAGATAGTAAGTTTCCTTAATAGACAAGGCTCTTATAAACCATAGCACCACCACCACCATGTGTTTTGCTAACCAAAATGTTTTGTGACCAACAACTGTGTATCACAAAATATCTTCAAGATAAAATATTAAGAAGACTTACTTATGTTGTATTCTTAAGCACTGCAGAATTATTTTTAACTATAAGCATAGATTACTTTTCAAATATAAATATGTTTTCAAAAAGTTTTTATACAACCAGGCCAAACCCAAAAAAATGTTGTATGGTAGTATATTTTCTGGGCATCAACAAAATTTGGAACAACATACAAAAGATAGAACACACAGAATTAAAAAGCCTGCTATATTTGGAACATACATTGAGTATCTCTTATCCAAAACGCTTGGGACCAGAAATATTTTAGATTTTGAAGATTTTTGGATTTCAGAATAGTTTCATAGACTTTACTGGCTGGTCATCTGTAATTCAAATATCAGCACTCAAAAATTTTTACATAGTGGAACATTTCAGACTTCAGATTTCCAAATTAGGGATGTTCAGTGTGTCTTAAAATTGAAATACTCTTATGCTTTATTTTACCTTGGATCTAACAATATGCCTTTAACTCCTTTTTCTTCCTTGTTTTTTTGTTTTGATTAGTTTTGTAGTACCAGGTATTACACCCAGGGCCTGCAGCACACAAGACAAGCTCTCTACTACTGAGCTACATCCCCAGCCCTTTTAAAAATTTTATTTTGGATAGCATTTGACTAAGCTGACCAAGCTGGGCTTGAACTTTTGATCCTTTGGCTTCAGCCTCCCCACAAGCTCAAATTACAAGCATGTACAACCTTATCTGCTATTAACCATAACTTAAAAAATACTTCTAGTACAAATGTGAATTTGAATAACCAAATCATGGTTATGAAAATTCTAAATTCCACACCTAACAGAACAAAAGATTTTACATTCTGACTACCTTAAGGAGAAAGAGGAGAGTACTTACCTGAAGTTGATGGACAAATCCAGCATTAGGATTAATACAAAATCTTCTTTCTTGCACATAAGCAAATGCATCTCTGAAAAGGAAAAGAAAATTAAAGAAAAGGCATTGTTTCATGAATTAATCCTACTTTCCAGACTCAATTTCTCTAAGCTTCACTGGTAAAATGGGAGACAAGTATTAAACACTTTATGTATGTAGTACACCTGTTATATAGTACACGTTCAAGATAGTATCACTGGTTAAACAAAATGCTAACACCCTGTATTGCTGTGAGGCTTAAGTAAGATAAAGATAAAATTGCCTGAGCAGTCAGTATCGGGCACAATGGAACTGAAGTTATTTTTACTGTATTACTGACAAGAGTCCAAATAATACAGAGAATATATATAAATGGTAAAGTACACAGTGCATGGTAAATCTTTTTCCATTTAATAAGCAAAGCATTTGAATTAAAATAATATTTAAGAACTGATACTTTTAAAGCAAACTTTCCATTTGGGAGTGAAACCTAAAAGTGTCCATGATGACACATTTCTAACTTATACAAGACAAAGAGAAAGGCAATACTGAATAATGGCTAGGGTTTGGTTTTGTTTTGGATCACAAAGTTCTTTTAAAGAAATCTATGTACTAAGCTTGGCAAAGATTATTTTTGATAAGACTGTCCTGAATTATGAATAGATGCTACTGACAATTCAATTATCACTCAAAAACTAATAAAGGAAAACACAGTAAGTTAGCCTTTTAAATAAGGCAAGCACTAACTTCAAATACCCAACCGTTTCTACTCAACATCATTTATGAGAATTTGAACTGTGGCTAGGTTTTAATGTACTTGCTTACCTGTACTTCATCCCAAATGTCTCCATAATGTATGCAATAACAAAGGCAGCACTAAAGACAAGGGGAAACAATTTTTAGAGAACTCACCAATTAAGTATTAGAGAAAGAAAGATTATCTTTAACTTCATACCTTCTGGAGATCCCTGCATTTCCATGGACAAGAACTTTTCCTGCAAAAAATAAGAAATGGTTATTCTAAGAAAAATACTTACACCAGCAGCTGAAATATACTGAGACCACAGCTGTCTTTCCTTAAATATTTTATATCATACACATGCCAGTTGGATATCTACTAGTTTTCAAATCTTTACTTGTAGAGAATACAACAGACCTTTAAAGAAATGTAAAGCTCACAGAGAATTTGAAAATAGTTATTTAGAGATTATTTCAAAAAGCTTACATAAATGAAACAAGTAGTTGGGAAAATATAAATTTGGGAATATTCTATTATATGTAACTACAATTTCCATATCCTACATTTAGGAAAATTACCAACTAAAATACTACTATACAGACCCTCCTAAAAACAAACACTAGCTAATTATGAGAAATACAACTTACCTCCAGCTTGTAAGCTCCCATCAATAAATTCCTTAGTCTGAAGGCAAAAAGACAATGTCATAATATGCAGATTAGCTGAGCATAAAATAGTGAGCAAATAAAATCTATAGGAAACAATTTCTTGTTAATTTATGAAATATAAATTATCTTAATTCAAAATTTCCAAAATGCTACAAATACCACTATTAAAAAGTTTAAAAAAATTGTGCAGAAGCTAAACTTAATTGGAAACAGCTTCTACAAATAATTTATTGCCTTTTTAAAAAGTAACCCTGCAAGAGTTAGCTAACCAAGTAAAAGTAGTAAGTTTTAGGACCATAATTAAGAAGTCAAATTAGGGCTGGGGATTTAGCTCAGCGGCAAAGCGCCTGCCTGGCAAGCGCAAGGTCGTGAGTTCGGTTCCCAGTACCAGAGAAAAAACAAAAAAACAAAAACAAAGAAGTCAAATTATAAATAAATTTTATATGATACTAAAATATTTATACCTACCATAGGGAAAAAACGTATTATATTTTCCACTGGATTATCTGCAATATCCAAGACTAAATATCTGAAAATAGAACAGGTTGTGATAAGCACTTTCAGATAAAATGTTCATATATATATATATATATAACTTTGACTATTTCTTGGTAATTATGAAAAGAATACAAAAATAATTATGCGGGCTGGGGATATAGCTCAGTGGCACAAGTGGCTGCTTGGCAAGTGCAAGGTCCTGAGTTCAATCCCCGGTACCACACACACAAAATAATAATAATAATAATGATAATTATCCAAGTTATCGCATTTCCAAGAACTAGGTCATAGTCTTTTTTTTGTTTTGTGTTTTTGTGGGTACCAGGAATTGAACTCAGGACCTTGTTGTGCCTGCCAGGCAGGCACTGTGCTGCTGAGCTATATCCCTGGCCCTGGGTCACAGATTTTTATACTGCCTGAGGGAATAGTATGTAAACCATTAAATAACATGTTAACATTTCTCTGATATTTTAATATAAAAAAAATCCATCCGGTTAAAACAGAAAAAGCACAAGTACGAAAGAAACTTTCCTCTAGGTAAGGGTAGACATAGAAAGTAAATACTTTCTTCAATGATCTTTCAGGTAGAAACTTCAGAGAATTCAGGGCTTAATACAGTGAAAACCAAGAATGCAAGAAAAATCCAATGTATAACCCTCAAGGATCGTGACAATGACATTATACTAAGTAACTGCGCAGACCTAGCTGTGGACATCATTTTGAATTGCAAGAATGACTAGATCTATTAGTCTGTAAGAAGCCAAAATCATTAATCTGGGGAATAACGGTTCTTTATTAGGATAAAGAACCGGCACCCAGAACATTTCCTTACTAAAAATGAATACTGTATACAAGTTAGAAATGAATAGAGTAACATTTTAAAATGCATCATTCTCTGGCCTGGGCATGTGGCTCAGTGGTACAGCACTTGTCAAGCACGTGTAAATCCCGGCTTTGAGTCCCCTTTTCATCCACGTGTGTAATGTGAGTATACACAGTACACATATGTAACACAGTAAGATCTAGAATATACCAAAATGCTGACTAAAAGAATTTTCTCTGGATTATAGATCATCCATGGTTGCTAATATTTTTTCTGTTATCATGCTACAGTTCCCCAAAGGCAGAAAAATAAGTACTTCTTTCACAAATCAAAACCAGTATAGTTCCCGTTACTCAGGAGGCTCAGACAGAGGATCACTTGAGCCTAGGAGCATGGGGCCAGCCTGAGGATTGTAGCACCTTGATAAAGGATGAACACTATGAAAGTATCTACAAAGAAATATGGGTCCTTTTATCATCCTAGACCCTCAATTTTTCTTCTCAGAAGCATCTACTGTACTATGAAATTTCTACTCTGCTGGTCCAGAACTTTTCAATGTAAATATGTATTTTTAAATACACAGGAAATTGAATCTGGTTCTATACTGTTTTTTTCATGTAATCAATCATGAAGATACTACCCAATGATCACACAACGATACAGTCCATTCTTTTTCACAGTATGCTATAGTATGTTTATACGATATACTTTGGAGTGCACTGTAGGTATGGGTATTTACAGACTGCACTTATTTGTTTTTTGTTTTTGTGGTACTGCAAACTGAACCAGGGCCTTTGCACTGAGCAATATCCTTTTCATTCTGAGAAGGGGTCGCACTGAATCACTAAGCTGCCATGCTGGGCTCTAACCTGTGACCCTCCCACAGCAACTTCCCAGAGTACTGGTGTTACAGGTGTGTGCCACCACGCCCAGCTTGTATTCATTTTTATAAATAGAGAAAAGCATGAAGATATTTTTAACTGATGCTTTTATACAGATATAGAGTATCTCTAGAAAGATACTAAAGACAGTCAACAATAGCTGCCTCCCACGGTAAAACTGAGGTGGCTTATGTACACTTTTACCTTTAACCATGTATAACATATTCTTTTAATAATGAATTTAAAATAATATTCAAAAGCATTAGATATTCAAGTGCACTTATTTTAATATAGTCATACTATAGCAGTGTAAGTACTGATAGGAAGCAATCACCAAAAAATTAAGTTGAAAAAGTGTAAAAAACGAAGTTTATCTATACGAATGATTTTTGCTGGATACGGTGGCACACAACTGTAATCCCAGAACTCCAGCAGTCTAAAGCAGAAGACTGCAAATTCTAGCCCAGTCTAAGTAACTTTAGTGACTTAGGGAGACCCTATCTCAAAATAAATTAAATACGGGCTAGGGGCCGGGTATGGTGGCGCATGTCTGTAATCCCAGCACTCAGGAGGCTGAGGAAGGAGAATTCTTCCAAGTTCGCACCAGCCTAGGCTACAAAGTGAGCTCAAGGCCAGCCTGCACTGCATAGCAAGACCCTGTCTCAAAAAAAAAAAAAAAAAAGTTTATTTTAAAAATTATATACCACACAGCCCATCTTCACAAGATAAATATGCAGACGATTACATATAAAATAAGGTAAAATGAAAACTGTCCTACATGTTTACTAACAATATTTTTATACATCACAGCAATGATTCCTACCTAAATAATTGTTGAAAGTTTGGTTTAATAAAGTTTGCTTCAATATTTTGTCGTATGCAAATTATGTGAGTTATTCCATGTTTCTGCAGTATAGGTAGCTGTAAAAAAAAAATGGGGGAGACAGAAAAGAGACAGTTAAAATATAAATCATTTTACTGTAACATGTTCCAAAATACACAGGACCTCCCACTGAGCCAAGCACAGTTTGGTTAAAGCTCATTTTGTGATAATTTACTTAAAATGATCAGCAAGACAGTTCAGTGATTCAAGATTAATACTTTAAATGTCTTCACAAGGCTAACAGGGGTATTTTATGTCTACACGTAATGCCCGATCTTGATGAGATCTTAAAGACAATTTACTTGGAAAACAGCAATTTTTATATTTCAGGGTTTATTGTATCGCATATTGTTTAGAAGCTATGATTAACAACCATAGGTGCTTAATATTTTTAGAGGGTAAATAAGTTACTACAGGGCAATCTGATTGGTTAAATTGGTTAATCTTTTTATCTCCTATCTTTCTTCCCCTTCCTTCTTTTTTGGCAGAACTGGGGATTGAACGCAGGGCCTTCACATTGTGCTGCATCCCCACCTATACTTTCTTTTGAGACAGAAGTCTCACTAAATCACTAAATCGTTCAGGTTAGGCTCAAATCTATCCTCCTACTTCAGCGTCACAGTGTGCTGGGATCACACGTGCGCACCAACATGCCTAGCTTGATTGGTGAATCTTTCAAACTCATAGACTTCCTGTGAGAAAAATAAAATAGACAACATCATATTTGTAGGTGTGATGGGGTACAGCACTCGAGAGGGCTAAAGCAGGAAGACAGCAAATTTATGTCTAGCCTGGTCAACGTAGTGACATCTTATCTCAAAACAAAAAAACTGGGGTGGTGGTGGTGATGCAGCTATACAGTACAGTACTGCCTAACATACTCTGGGTTTGATCCTCAACATTATGAAACTATGAAAATTTAAAAATTAAAAATAAATCAGCAGGGCCAGGGATGTAGCTCAGCAGCACAAGCGCCTGCCTGGCAAGTATGAGGGCCCGAGTTCAATTCCCAGCACCAAAAATAAATAAATAAATAAATAAAAATAAATCAGTAAAAATCCTGGAGATACAACAAATAATCTCTGGGCTTAATTTGTTTTTTTAAATTTCTGGTATTACAAAATTTTTTAAAAATACCTCATTTGTGATGGAACATTTAAGAACCACTGGTCTAGTAAAATGGGAAAAAGGCATGTACTAACACAGTGTTAATTACTATTAATACATAGCATTTGTGAATGCTCCTTAAAATAAAAACCTAAATAAAAACTTTCGTATTGCAAAAGCATATACCCGAGAAAGCTGGTTACTAAAGTCTCTTGGTGAACCTAACCTAAAGTTCATACCTTGCTTTTCATAGCAGAAGAATATGGGCCTAAGAATAATCCAGGTAAAATTTCCTAGGGAGAGGTAGGGAAAAAAAAAAATCACCATTAGTAATTTTAATTTATACCACATACGCACCACATCATTAGACTTGTGGGGTGTTTTCAGTATAATAATTTGCTTTTGTCATTTGGGGAGCATTTCTTAGCCACACTGAGCTAATGACTGGGAAGAGAAACGCAGATGTGCCTCACAATGCTAAGGGAGATATTTTCAAGTTTAAATGTAGTTCTGAAAAGCCTAATATTTGAACTTCCACAGTGCTTTTCATTGCTTTTAGATTAATAAAACCTCCCTAATATCACATCTATTTTCTATGCTCTAAAAATTAAACAGGCATGAAGAAAATCCTTCCTCTCGAATTGACAAAAGTAGCACAAGATACAACAGTATTTAGCAGGATGCGGTGGTGCACACCTAAAATTCTAGCACTCAGGAGGCTGAGGCAGGAGGATCCTTGTGAATTTGAGACCAGCCTAAACTACACATCGAGACCTTGTCTCAAAAAGACAAAAAAGAAAAGTATTACAACTATTATCTATAGTTAATAGAAGCAAACGAATTATGATTATAGTTACTTACATATGGGACTGCTTTGTCCCACCAGCTGGTTTTACTCAGAAATTACCTTTTCCTCATTTTTGCATGCCCCACAGCACCAAGTAAAAAGCCTCAGATGTACTCAGATATTTTCTTAAAAGTTCATTTTCACTGAGAGGAAGATACATATTTAAAAGTTAAGACACCCCAAGGAATGAGACATGACTAGATCCTGGGGTGAGCCATGCTGACTGCAGACGGTACAAAATGCAAACGAAAAGCAATGACGAGTACTGCTTATCATTTTAACTCATTCTAAACTGAAAGTACTCTTTTGGGGTCTTAAATTGTGCTTCTTTTTTTTTTTTTGGCCTTTTTGAGGCAGGGTCTCACTATGCAGTTCGGGCTGTCCTTGAGCTTACTTTGTAGCTCAGGCTGATCTCGAACTTGTGATGATCCTTCTGCCTCAGCCTCCCAAGTGCTAGAATTACAGGCGTGTGCCAGGAGCCTTATCTGTGGATGCTGGTTGGACATGCACAAAAATGAACAGTCTGATTTGCTTAACAGTCAACACTCTTGAACTTATCTAAACTAAAAAAACAGCAAACTGCTTTCAATAATACAAATTTAGTATTCCACTTTTCAGATTAAAACGACTCATGTAAGCATGCATGCAAGCATGTATACACTTGTATTAAAAAGTCGCTATTTAAAATACTTAATGATGAACCTACAGATCATAAGCCAACAGGTCTCAAACCGTTCATGAAACTAGGTTATTTATATAAAATAACAGAAAGTCCCCCTACCTGCATCTCTCGTCTCATTGGGTAGGTCCACTCCTTTACAAAGGAAAACACAAGAAGACAAGTAAGTAACATGAAAAATGTCACCCAATGAAAGACTAAAGATGCGTCATACAAAAAAATATATATATATTTTTAAATAACACTTAAAGAAACGTCTATAGGGCTGAAGACATAGTAGAGTGGTAAAGGGCTTCCCTAACATGCAGGAGGCCCTAGGTTTGATCCTCAGCACCACAACAAACAATTTTTAAAAGTACATATGCTGGTGATCACAGTCAGATGATTATTTGCCTATTGTAGGGTAGAGCAGGAGATGCCGAGAAATAGATGTAATTTCTGTGTTGACAATGTGGTCTGACAAAAAAGACAGACTACATATGAGAGGAGAGATAATTAAGACTGACTTCTCCAGTGCAAGAACAGCAGATGGGAATAATTCATTCAAACCAACAAAATAACTGTCATCTAGAGATATGCTCAGAAAATCACCTTTCAGGAATAAAAGTAAAAGAAAAGACTTAATACAAGCAGATTTTTATTAAAAGAACTCTTCAGAGATGTTCTTTAGAGAAAAGGTACTATCACTATGTCTATTTTACATTTAAATTTTAGGCATAGAGAACTTTGATTGTGAGCTCAGGTAGTCTGAATCTAGAATTCATTCTCTTAATCACTGCACTATATAAACTTTCAATATAAGGAGAAACTTTATGACAAACATATTTAAACAAATATTGACTACATGAAATAACAATAATGATTTGAGAATTAACGGAACAGAAATAAAAGCCTAGGCTTTCCAAGCTACAGGGAATATGTAATCAAATTGAATGTTCACTTACAAGATGGCATTTTTTTAACATAGAAAAGTTTTTAAAAACTTAGCCCAGGGCCGGGGATATAGCTCAGTGGCACAAGTGCCTGCCTGGCAAGCACAAGGTCCTGAGTTCAATTCCCAGTACCAAAAAAAACAAAAAACAAAAAAAAACCCTTAGCCCAAATACTTCTTTTAGTCATAGTACCCCTAACGTTGAGCATAGTACCTTACACAGAACAAGCACACAATAGATGTGCATTATGGAGATCTACAGCACTAGAGTCTAGAGATCTTTTTCCTTTTTCTAAAAAGATTTTCAAGAAATCTAATGGCCACCCTTTTCCTGAAGCAACTTGTCAGAGCTATGAGACAGAAAAAAGCAATCAAATGAAATGTGTACTTCTGAGGTTAATTAAAATGAAATCATTAAACTGTGAATAATAATAAAAAAACAAACAGGGCTGGAGGTGTAGCTCAGTGGTAGAATACTTAGCTAGCATGTGTGAGGCCCTGGATTAGATCTATAGTAGCACACACACAAAAAACAAAAACATAAACAAAACAAAACAAAACATGGAAACACAGAAACGGCATACATATATTCTGGAAAATATCTGTGGAGAGCGAAGACTTTCTAACCTATGATGATTTGATAACTGCGTTTATAAATGTACAACAGGGAGATAATAAAAAGGTACACAAATATATTAAGTGTCTGGAGGTAAAACCAAAGTATCACTGAGCTTTACAAGCTTATACAGCTTCTCACAGGTGAGAAAACAGAGGGGCACAGGCAGCTTAGAACAGTACGTGATTTTGAAGAAAGATGAATGGGCCCTTGGAAGAACAGATGATGGTCTGTGCCAAAGTTTGTATCTACTCTATTCTTCTTTGTAAAGTCAATCTTCCACTGCTAATCAAACTCCCTGGGAGAGAACTGGCGACAAGTGAATTCCTTCCGGAGGATCTATCCCAGAGATAAGGGGAGTTCAGAGAAAGCCATTCTCTGCATTTGCTGCTTTTCCAATGCCTTAAGCCCAGGGTAATCAACATACCAATGCAATAGACTTTGTGGTGGCATTTCCCGAACTCCTTCAACTTGGCAACATGCCAGAAGAAACTCAAAGCCACAGGATAAATGTGGGTTTTTTTTCCCTGCAATATTCATTTTACCAAGAGAGGGGGAGGGGGTAGCTTCACTGGCTACTAATTTAAACTGTTTTTAAATTAAAATCACCATGAACCTATAGAATATAATGGACCATCTTTATTTATCAAAAAATAGTTATGATAGCCATACACAGTAAGAGAGAATGGAAATGTATCCTGAGTAATAGGGTAGATGAGCATGCAGCCTTACTCCGGGAGCATGACTTTGTTTTAATAAGGATGGATGCCTTGAAACCCGGAAGTTTTATCTGAGAGAAAATTTCTTTATAGTACTGGATCTAGCTTTGAAAGGGTATCCATGCTCACAGTCTTGTTCTACTAGATATCTGTCTGAACAAGTTTCTAAAACCAAGTCTTAACTGGATCTCCTTCTCCTCCTCACCGCCCCCACCCCCGCCATACGGGTGCTGAGAACTGAACCCAGAGCCCAAGCCCTGGACAAGCCCTTCACCACTCATCCTCTTAGCCACAGCCCATTATACTCATGAATTTCAACCTGCCAAGCTGCCCCTAAAATCCATCCTCCTTCAGTTTGTAGTTTAATGGGATAGACTCCTTTACTTAAAAAGTTCCTATTGCAGTGAATCATTAGGATCAATTTCCCAAACTTCTGCCCATTAGCCCAGCACTCCAACCACAGTTATCCAACTAAAGCAAGCCAGGCAAACCAAAATACCCCTAACTGTGACATAAACCATTGCTTTGACAAATTATTTATAAGCTAGGCATAGTGTCGCATGCCTGTCATCCCAGCTACTCTGGAGGCTGAGATGGAGGGTCATGATTCTGAGGCCAGCCTAGGCAACACAGGGAGACCCCATCTCAAATGAAAGAATGAATGAATGAAAAATCCTAAGTAAAAATCCTTCAATCAGTATGAGGTAGAAGGTACTGCAAATTAAAACACCTTTCTGGAACTCCTCATACCATGCAAAGATTTATAAAACTATATTTGGGGAATTAAAAAATGTTCAAAGACCCTGAAATAAATGCACCCATGAAGAGTACAGCCTAATAAAATAGGGCAAGGGACTTCACTCAGTACAAAGGGTGTGGTTTCATTCCCAGTACGCAATACCATAAACCAAAACAGACATATTCCCTGGGTGTTTCTACTCTATTACCAGCATTAAAAAGCACCTCTCTAACCAAGTGTGATGGCACACACCTGTAATCCCAGCACAGGTGGAGGCTGAGGCAAGAGGGTCACAGGTTCGAGCCCAGTGCAAGTAACTTAGCAACACTCTGTCTCAAATATGTAACGGGCTGGTCATGTAGCTCAGTGTGAAAGCCCTGAGCATCTTCAGAACTAAAAGATGATCTTGGGCACACAGAGAAAGGGACATAGACAACAGTTGCTCATAATAAGGTTGGTGATGATGGGCAGATACCAGATAACTCAAGATCTTGCCGATGCTGTCAAAGGTTTTAACTTAATCCTCAAAACAATGGGAAATCACAAAAAAAGTTTTAAGGAAGTGATGATAAACTTTTGCTAGCACTGTCCTATACGAAGAATGCCTGATCCTATCAACCCTGTCTCAGCAAAAAAAGAAAGAAAGAAAAAGAAGAAAAGCAAGCAAGGAAGCTTGATAAGTATTTCAAGAAACTTGAAAATATTCTTATAGAATCAAACTATCATAGAGTGATCACATTAATCATTAAAAGCATTCACCAAAATTTCTCTATTTGCATCTCATTTTACCAAAGCAAAATTTGGAAGGTAATTTGACTTTCCATGTGGTGCTTCCTATGAGGAAGAAACAGTACTGACTTTATTCTGACTACATAAGATCATTTGACAGTTTGGATGTCTCACTGGAAATCAGAAAATTATCACTGTTATTAAAGTCAGCCTACTGTGATTAAATATACAGCCCAGATTATTTAGATAGCCACTATTTATAGCTTTGTCAGCCCAAAAAGCACCCTCCATCTGTGGAAACGCTCCTATGTGGGAGGGCCACCAATTAACTTTACTCCCTAGCCAAGGATCTGGGGATAGGAGACTGGGCTTATTCATCCCTCCCGGGCTATTCTGACTGGTAGACACATGACCTGAATTGCATCAACACTCAAACCCTGCAGAATTTCAGGGAAGAGGTACTTTTGTCATTTTTTCACAAACAGGCTTTTAGGACCTGAACTCCTAAGAGTCAAGACGCCACTATAAGTTTAACACCTCCATCTTGTTAGGTCCTGGGACTAGCTTAGAACACTACTTTTTCTTTTCGGATTTAGTTATTCTTTACTTCTCCCCACCCCGCTACCCCCCCAAGCTAGTCTGAGCTGGTTTTTCTTACTTGCAACCAAAAGGGATCAAACATCCAATGCCATGAAATAAGCTACGAATTGGCTTTCAGCCGATTATACCGCATCACTAACCACTGAGTTTTAAGCTCTTACCTCTATGATATAATCTGAAAGATCCTTGGTTCTTGGCCCAGTTTCTGTCACAGACCTCTGCCTCCTCTAATTTTCCAGTAATAGAAGAGTCTTTTGGGATTTACAATGAGACACCTTTGCCCACAACCAAGTTGGTGCTAATGGAGGGGCTGAGAGTGGACTGTCAGGTGGGGCTGGTCACCAGAAAGACAACAGGGGATCAGAAGATGAGAATTTTCAGCTTCGCCTACCGACCCCTGGGAAGGGGGAGAGGGTGGTGGGAGGGGGCTGGAGACGAACCTCTCAACTCTGGAAAGGAAAGAAATTTGCGGAGCCGCCAAGTTGCTAAACAACTGGAGGTCCAGAGAGCCATGTGCCCTGTCTCGCACCGCGCCCCACACACCTCTTCCTCTGGCTGCTCATCTGCATCCTTTGTAACATCCTTTTTAGTAAAAGGGTAAACACATTTTTCCTGGGTTCTGAAGCCATACCAACAAACTGATAGTACTGCAGATAGTACGGCCATCTGAACAGTGAGGGCTAGGGACAGTCTTGAGGGACTAAGGATCTAACTCTTAATTCTGAGTGCATCAGAATTGAACTGAATCACAGGGCATCCAGTGGGGGGTCTACTGGAGAAATGCTCGGCATGGGGGAAAAA